ACATATTCGATTCCAAAATCCAATGTACCTTGCACATATCTCAAGACTCTTTTAGCTGTCCCCATGTGTGTTTTCTAGTAGGTTTGTGCATGAACCTTGCTAGCAAACATGATGCATACATTAGATCAGGTCTAGTAGCTGTCAAGTATAACAAACTACCAACCACTGTCCTGTACAAACTTTCATCAGCATCCTCACTTCCATCTTCCTTAGATAACTTGTCATCAACTGCAAGTGGTGTTTTTACTGCTTTGCATTCTTTCAATCCAAATTTCTCAAGTAGTGACTTGGCATATTTCTTCTGATGAATAAATATACTCTTATCTGTTTGAACTATGCCTAGACCAAGGAAGTGATGTAACAATCCCAGATCTGACATCTCATATTGCTTCATCATATCCTTCTTAAATTCTTGAATCATTTCATCAGAATTCCCTGTGTAGATAATGTCATCTACATACAGAGATACAATAAGCACACCTGCATCACTGAACTTTGTATACAGAGTAGCTTCACTTTGGCTTTTCTCAAAACCAGATCGATTGAAATAATTGTCTATCTCATCATACCAAGCTTTAGGAGCTTGTTTCAGACCGTATAAAGCCTTTTTCAACTTGTAGACCTTATCTTCCTGTCCTTGAACTTCAAATCCCTGTGGTTGATCCACATATACTTCCTCATGCAGTGTACCATTTAGGAATGCAGATTTAACATCCAATTGAAACAACTTCCATTCCTTTTGAGCTGCCAAAGCAATGAGAGTTCTAATGGTATCAAGCCTTGCCACAGGTGCAAAGGTCTCGTTGAAGTCCACTCCGGGCTTTTGAGAATAACCCTTAGCCACTAGCCGTGCCTTGTTCTTCTGTACTGAACCATCCAGATTGAGTTTTGTTTTGTAAACCCATTTTACACCAATTACAGGTTTATCAAATGGTCTTTTGACCAACTCCCATGTATCATTCTTTTCGATCATCTCAATCTCTGTGGACATAGCTTTTCTCCAAGCCTCATCCCTTGATGCTTCTTCAAAACATTCAGGTTCTATCACACAGAAATTGCACCTTTCATAAATTTCATTCAAGCCTCTGAACCTTAATGGAGTATGATCATACATTTGTGAGCTGGTATGATCTATTTGCTCTTCTTGTCTTGAAGAAGAAGCAATAACTTGCTCATGTTGTTCCTGTAGTGATTCTGTGCATTCAAATATTGCATCATCTTCAACAGCTTCAGTCTCATTCTCTTTGCTTCCATCAACATCACTTGGAACTGAGATGGACATAGTCTTCTTATTACCAGATTTCCAATCCCAACAAGAGTTCTCATCAAATATTACATCTCTAGAAATAACAATCTTGTTAGTTTTAGGATTGAACAACCTGTAACCCTTTTCACACGTTCCATAGCCAAGGAATATGCACATTACACTTGTTGCATCCAGTTTCTGCCTCATTTGTGATGGAACCTGTGCATAACATAAAGATCCAAACACTTTTAAATGTTTTACTCCAGGCTTTCTTCCACTGTAAGCTTCAAATGGAGTCTTCTTATTCAAGACCTTGGTAGGACATCTATTGAGAATGTAGACTGCAGTATTCACTGCTTCTGCCCAAAATTCAAATGGAATCCCTTTCTCCAACATCATGCATTTAGCCATTTCTACAATGGTCCTATTTCTTCTCTCAGCAACACCATTCTGTTGAGGAGAATAGGCCACTGTAAGTTGTCTTTCTAGACCAAGATTTTCACAATATTGAGAGAATTCCAGAGAAGTATACTCCCCTCCCCTGTCACTCCTTAATTTCTTCACTTTGAATCCACTTTGTAGTTCAACAGTTGCCTTGAACCTCTTAAATATGCCAAATGCATCAGATTTGTTTCTCAGAAAATAGACCCATCCCATTCTGGTACAATCATCTGTGAAAGTGATGAAATACTTGTTTCCAGCTTTGGTAAGTGTTTGCATTGGTCCACATATATCAGTATGTATTAACTCCAATGGTAGTGCAGCTCTCCAGTTTGTTTCTTTAGGAAAAGCATCTCTAGAATGCTTTCCAATAGCACATCCCTCACATACTGTGGAATTCACTCTGAGCTCAGGTAAACCAGTCACCATGTCATGCTCTTGAAGTTGCATGAGAGCCTTCATATTTAGATGCCCGAGTCTTCTATGCCATATCTCAGCAGCTTGTTTAACACCTGCCCTCATAGCCATTTGTATTCCTGGTTGCAACTTCAAAGGAAAGCTTAGATTTCCCTTCATAGGAATTTTAACAACCAGATTAGAGCATGTAAAATCTTCATAAATTCTGACTTCAATTCCCCCAAACACAAGGTAATATCCATGCTCCATCATTTGTCCCACACTCAATAGATTCTCCTTTAAACCAGGTACTAACATGATCTCCTTGATGTACCGTTTGCCTTGCTTAGTTGCAACCATTAACTCTCATTTTCCAACTACATTAACCAACTCCCCTGTGCCCATCTCAACTTTGGCAGTAACACTTCTATCAATATTCTCCAGTAAATCTTCTCTTCCTGTCATGTGATTACTGCAGCCACTATCAACATACCAAACATCTTGTCCCTTCTTCACTGCAGCAGCCATACACACATAGAACATAGTTGGATTGTTCTCCACTTGTTTGACATAATTTGCCTGTTGAGTAACCTTCTTTGACCTGCAATCCTTAACAAAATGCCCTGGCTTATCACAGTTATGGCACCTTGGTTTTCCCTTGAACCAACACTCTCCAAAATGAAGTTTATCACAGTACTTACATGCATTCTTGACATTATCAGAAGACCCAGTAAATTTTCCTTGATGGTGCACAGATTTGTTATCCCATTTCTTACTCTTTGTCTGCCAGTTCTTTGTGGGTTTAAAACTCTGATTGCCATTGTAATTGTTCTTCCTGGGAGCTATACTTAAACTAGCAAATGCCTTTTCATTTCTATCTTCAGAATGTCTATCAATTCGTTGTTCATACCCCTTTAGGGTAGCAACAACATCCTGCACATCAACACTCTCCAGATCCCTAGTGTTTTCTATCACAGCAACAATACTATCATAAGACTTAGGCAAACTTATCAATAGCTTCTGCACAATTCTTTGATTTCCTATATCTTCACCATAACTTTTTCATTTGTGACATAAGATCAAATAATCGCACAACATACACAGAGAATGCTTCATTTTCACCCATACGAGTGTATTCAAAATCTCGCCTTAAACTTTGGAGTTTCACAGATCTCACCTGTTTATCCCCAATAAATTCTTGCTTCAGTGCATCCCAAGCCTCCTTTGCCGTCTCCAGTATGGCGATTCGTGGGAAAATTTCATCGGACACAGAACCTTGAATAATCCCGAGAGCCTTAGCATCCTTGATCATGTTCTCCTTTAGCTGCTTTAGTTCAGCGGCATTGAGTTCTTCATCTTCTTTCTTCACCGGAGGTTTATACCCCGTTTCAACCATATCCCACAGATCGTGAGATCTGAAAATAGTCTTCATCTTTATCTGCCAGAAATCAAAGTTTTCCCCATTGAAAATCGGTGCTCGAAGATCAGCACCACTCGATCCAGCCATATTAGACTTGTTATCGAGTTACCCAGTGATTTTTCAGATTGATCTTCAATCGCAGCAAACTCGATTCTCTGTCGAGTTCCTTAGCTGCAACCCTTGTCACAGATTCACGCCCAGATTGAGATCCAACCTGGCTCTGAGGCCATATTAGAGTTTGATTTCGGGTAGATTCAATGGAACAGTAAAATGCACACACAGAGAGCAGAGCTTTCTTCAAAGGTTTCAGTGTATTCGACTTGTTCACAAAACAAAGAGCTCAAAGAGCATGTTTTAACGTTGGAGGAGTGAGAAACAATTTCACCCTCTCACAACATTACAAATCCATCACAACCATTCATTTCAAAGTCATCATATAAGATGCTTGCACATGTCATGAGCTATGACTCATTCTAATCCAATCTAATCTAAATACCAATTGGAATATGATCCAAAGGTTTACATTAGATCCTACACTTTGTTTATAATGAAACTACCACAGCAAATACATTTATACTTCAATAATTGGCACTTTATAAAGCCCTTTTTCCCACCATGTTGCGTGATTTACATTGAATGGGATAAAATGTAGTCTGCAAACAAAGAGCAACCAAAGCGTTTCCATGCAGCTTTCCTCGTCGAAAACACTCAAGAAATGGTATATAATTAAATTATCTTCATGTTTGAAGAGATACCCGCCAAGTTACTTTGAAAAAGAAAAGAACATTTATATATTTGACTGCAGCAGTTATTTTTCTTCATTAATTCATGCTTTTAACAGACAAGCTTTGTTTATTTTTCTTCGTTAATTCATGCTTCTAAGTTCTAACAGACAAGCTTTATTTTTCTTCATTAATATATGTGACATAATTTAGCAAAGCTCTATCTGCTGGCTTTAGTCATCATGGTCGTATAGGGGCTGATAATGTCTCAGACTCTCAGGGCAGTTTTCCATGCAGCTGTAATAACTTTCACTGCATTCACCCGAATACTCAGCATCTGGTGGTTTGCTTTGGTTCCCACTGTTGTTACACTCAACCATGCATGACATCGCGTCGCGGAAGCAGGCAGTGGTACATGCCTCTTGGCCGTGGACGACTTGAATTGCAGGCCATGTTAGTAAGAGCAATTTCACAAGTACAGGAAGCACACTCGACCTGATTGACCTAGCCATTAATTATGTAAATTTTAGAAGTGGTATATATGTGTGCACCTTGCTGTGAGTAGGTTCTTTTCAATATAACGTGATTGTGATGCTTTGTCACTGGGGGATGTTTATATAACGAAAATGGTTTCACCCAATGGAGAAAGAAAAGGTCACGCAGATAATTTTGATTAATCGTTAGCCAAAAGCTTCGGAATAGGCAAAGATAATGATCGAATATATTGTAAGTAATCTTCCCGTGAATTGATCATATATTAATACAAGAAAGTAATAACTGATATAACAGAAATATAGTTAGAGGGGTATTATTGTAATTAGGTTATATGGCTATATAAGGGATTATATAACAATCATTTCAGTAAGTTCATTTATATACATTTTCTCTAATCAATCAATACAATCTCTTTTGTTGCTCTTTACCAATTCTTTCTCTTCCTCTGTACCAATCTTCATCTTTTGCAATGTAGTTAATATGGTATCAGAGCCACCAGGCTAACACCATTGATTCTGGTGGTTCCATTTCTCATTATTTTTCATCTGTTTCTAGCTTAGTTTCTTTCCAAATTTCTATTAGATTTTCTTTGGTGCTTTCGCAATCGTTCTTCTAATTCTGGGTTGATGCGGGTCCTAAGTTTCTCGAACTGGGTCTGGATGAAAGTTGGGTTTGCGGATCTGGGTCGGGATATTTGAAGAATGGTGTTCTAGTCATGTGGGTTTTGGCGGTTGGCGGCGAGTAGGTCGTCGCTGACGATACGGATTTGGTCGGAGCCGGAGTTTTTTGGTGTTGTTCTGCTTGTCAAGGGCTCTTCTCTCGCCCTATCTACTGTGTCTCAGACCAGGGAGCTATACAAACGGATTGACAAGCTCGTCGAGTACTCCGCCAACAACGGCCCGGAGTTCGTAGCCATGATCCGGGAGAAGAATTCATCCCCATCTTTCTTGCTTGGCTTTGATGGCAGACCGGCCTTCACGAATGGGCACAGTGGCGTCCCCATCTTCTTCTTCTTTCTATCGACTGTTCGAATTTTGTTGCTTCCCTTGCGATTTTGCTAAACTTTATCCAGCTCCAGGATAAGCCGACGTTTGGGTTCTGTTCGGAATTTCTCTTCTGTGTTGCTGATTGAACAGTGGGATCTTGGACTTTGTCAAGTTGTTTCTTGTATCTGTCATCTTCTTTATGCATATATGGTGTTTGTGAAAATGTCTGAATGAAACTAAATGCCGCAATGAGATCAGTGATCTAGAGATTTGGTTCCTTCTTCTGCTATTCTGCTCTGCGATCTACCAATCTGCTTAGGTTTTTGTCGCCCATCTGCATTTCCATTGCGGGGTCTATTCATCTGGGTCCAGATCGAACTGTTTGGTGACTGCCGGTGAGACTGTTGACATTTTAAGCTTTTCTGCGTTGAGATTTTTTTATAGGTTTTCTACTTTTCCTGCATTGTGTTGCTGAATTGTGACGTTGATTGGATTCTTGAACTCGATCTCTCCGAACCCATTGGGGGGGTTCGAGCTCTCTCACTGTATGATGCTTTGTGTTTCTTGCCATTGTTGATTTAGATTGTATGTTTTGGATTTGGTTTCTTGGAGTGTCATTCTCCTTGGTTAATTTGGGTTTCTTGGAGTGTCATTCTCCTTGGTTAATTTTTGGTGTTCAGAAGATTTCAGGATTGTCATTCTCCTTGGTTAATTTTTTGGTGTTCGGCAGATCTTGGAGTGTCATTCTCCTTGGTAGATGTAGTTTCTTGGAGTGTCATTCTCCTTCGTAGATTTCATTTCTTGGAGTGTCATTCTCCTTGGTAGATTTAGTTTCTTGGAGTGTCATTCTCCTTGGTATATTTAGTTTCCTGGAGTGTCATTCTCCTTAGTTGATTTGGTGCCAGTTTCTGTCAAGATTTAGGAGGGATAATTTGCATATACAGTGAGTGTGTTACTATGGTTTCTCAGTTCACAGTCGACAACTTGTTGGGTACGTTCAGACCAAGACCAGATTTGATTGTATTGCTAAGCTCATTGATCTACCTTTTGGGGAGCTTGTATTGGGTTCTACTTAAAGAAAAGACAATTCTAATGGATTTAGTGCTACTTTGGACTCTACTAAGCAAGTTCACTGCTTTGTTGTCCAAGATGGTTGCAGTGCTTTGTGAGCAACATACTACCGACGTCTTTATTGGAAAATTGATTTAGCAGATGGGAAATGGATGAGTCAATGGAAGAGGCGGCGAACAGAGAGACGCTTGAGGAAGCTGGTGTGATTGGCCATCTTGAAACTAGATTGGGATCGTGGATTTACAAGAGCACAATCGCAAGGATGACATTTTACATCTTGAGAGCGAGACTTTAGATGATTTTGGTGATGTTACAGGCACTAGGAGCAGGCACGGAACTGGGCAGACAGTTGGAAACCAGTAATTGCAGATCAGTCTCAAATACCTGGCTAGTTCAAACTTCACTTGGATACTCCAAGTTTAGTTTGAGGGGGGAGTAATAACTGATATAACAGAAATATAGTTAGAGGGGTATTATTGTAATAGGTATATGGCTATATAAGGGATTGTATAACAATCATTTCAGTAAGTTCATTTGTATACATTTTCTTTAATCAATCAATACAATCTCTTTTGTTGCTCTTTACCAATTCTTTCTCTTCCTCTGTACCAATCTTCATCTTTTGCAATGTAGTTAATAGAAAGTATGATATGTGATTTTTAATAATAAAAGAAGCTCATACATATTGAAGTAGAACTAAAGTACAAGTTTTTATTTGGCTTTTTACTTCTTGTATGGCCAGGATTGAAATATATTTTCTTTTTAGATTTACTTATTTAAACTAAAATAATGAAGGGTTACTCCTTCAGGTTGGCCATGGGGATTTCAGAAAAATAACGTTGGAGTCTCTATTTTGGGCACAAAAATGCCCCTAATACATGACAACATTAATGCCTCAAATCCAGCAATATATTATATTCTTACCATATTTTTCATATCACATTTGTACTACTTTTCTAATAGAGATGAGATTCACATATGTTGGTGAGCTCTACTTTTACTAGAGAGGTGGTACAAATGTAATAAGTGTACCATTACTCTTCGCATTTTTCATACAACATTTGTATATATCATCTTTCTAATAGTCTCTAATAGAGATGAGACCCACATGTTGTTGGTAGACCCTATCTCTATTAAAAAAGTAGTATAAATGTGATATAAAAATGTGGTAAGTAATGCATGAATAATTGCTATATTAGTCTGAATGAAGTTGAGTTAAAGATGTAAGTGAGAGTGGAGGTGATGTGGCTACGGGGTTGAAAGCCATTTCATTAGGATGAATTGCTCACCAATAATTTTTGGCTTTCCACTTGCATGACTATGGGATTGAAACCTATATAGACGACTTGCTTTGAGATTGGTTAATTCAACTAAAATAACGCTGGCTTGGCTCTTTGAGCTTGGCCATGAGATTACACTTTATGCTAAATATTATTAAAAAAATAACGTTGGACTTGACGGATTGGCACTTTAATTATAAAGCCCTTTTGGCTACTATGTGGCGTGATTTACATTGCATGGCATAAAATGCAGAGTCTGTAATCAAAGAGCGACCAAAGCTTTAGCAAGCAGCTTTCCTCGTCGAAAACATACGAGATGGTATATACTTATATTATCTTCATGTTTGAAGAGATATCCCCTCCAAGTTTGAAAAAGAACAACTATATATTTGACTGCGGTTAGCAGTAAGTTTTCTTCATTCATCAAAAGCTGTTAACATTCAAGCTTCGTTTTATTTGACGTGTATATGTGTGTGTGTGTCTCTCTCTCTCTCTCTATATATATATAATATAATTTAGCAAAGCTCTGTCTGCTGGCTGCAGTAATCATGGCCGTATAGGGGCTGATAATTTCTCAGGGTCGGGCATGCAGATTTCCATGCAGCTGTCGTAATCTTCGGTGCATTCATCCGGACATGAAGGATCTGGTAGTTGGCTCCCATTGTTGGTACACCCAACCACGCATGACATCACTCCGTTGTAGCAGGCAGCGGAACATGAATCTTGGCCGTGGACGACTTGTGTTGCAGGCCATGTTAGCAAGAGCAGTGTTACAAGTACAGGAAGCACACTGGACCTCATTGCCAAAACTATTACTTATAGCCGTAAACTTTAAAAGGGGTGTATGTGTACCTTGTTGTGACTTGTGAGTATAGGTTCTTTTCAACATAATGTGATTGTGGCGCATTTGTTACCGGGAGATTATATATAAAGAAAATGGTTTCACAAAAGGAGAAAGAAAAGGTCATGCAGATAATACTGATTGATGGTGAGCCAAAAGCTTCGGGACCAAGGGTCAGTTATTTTTAATATAATATATATGACAGGCAAAGATAATGATCGAGTTCTGTAAGTTCCCTTTCTGTGAGTTGGTCCTGTAATGTAACATGGTATTAAATTAAAGGAAATTTTTTTCCTGGTGCAAATGTGTTCCAAATAACAATAGTCATAAACAAATAAATACACAGAATATGTTGCAATTAAGTTGTTTATTTGATCAAAGCTTAATTATATAAAGTAAAAATCCTTTTCTTTTATTGGTGTAGACATAATTGAGACCACTAGGCTCCACACTCGCATATATATATATATATATGTGTGTGTGTGTGAAGTTGATCAAATCCAGGCTAGCTTATGGTAATTTAGGTGGCTGTGGCTGCATCGATCGTGGTGGAGGTGGTGGTAGAAGAGGTGATCGATGGCATTGCTCGTCGCACTTAGTGTTCGTACCGTTGCAGTCATTAACATCCGCCCCGCTGCCACCGTGTCCCAAACAAGCAGTGACGCATGAGTACCAGCGTTCAAAGCAGAGCACGGCACATGTCAGGCCTGCGGCATCTTGACCTTGATCGCCATGGACTACTCGTGCTGCAGGCCATGCTACCAGAAGCATTGCCACAAGACCCAGTACTACAGTGCTTGACCTCATTGGTAGGTTGCAGACTCAACTGTGTAAATTAATTAAAAAGTTGCTTATTAATTTCTAATTTTCTATGTAATGTGATGCATTTTGGTGTGTTTATATAAGAAAAAACCCGGGCAGATGAATTTTAATGTCAGAACTTAAGCATTTTGTGTGGGGATGGTTGCATGACATTCCGGACGTCGAATGAATGAGGTCGGTTATTTTACTTACACAGGAGCCAAAAACAATGTAACCCTAGCTACCTCATGTCAATGGAGATTACTAAGAGCATCGCGATGAGGGCTAAATACAACCTGAGCTATGTTAATTTTAGCATACATTCACCCATGCAGTGGATCTGCCATTGCTACTACTTCTATAAAGACCTAATTTTTCCGTTATCTCGCAAAAAAAAGGTGAGATTATATAGGGCACAAAAATATTTTTGCACTTTTTTCTAGGGTTTAGGGTTTATGCATTTTTTTTAGTACAACGATATAATTTACATTAAAGGAATGATGGAGTTTGGCTAAATCACATAACGGACAACTTAATTTGATATCGAATTCGCCATCCACGAAAGCACAAAAATATTTTTGTGCTTTTTTTTTTCTTCAAGATTTTTAGAATTTTGTTCTTTTCTACATTTGAAAAGACTTGGAAACCTTGTCAAGAACAACTCAGCCCATCTAGGGGTTTCGTCGAGCCATCTCTTATCTAGTGTTTTACTTGACGTCATATTACTCGAAATGTATTAAAATAAATTTGAGAAGGTCTTGATTAATGAAAATACATATTTCTATATTAGAATAGCGTCTTGTCAAAACTCAAAAATTCATTTTATTAATATATAGTTCGTTACAGAATATATATATATATGTATGTATCGCATAGTTAAATACTAGAAAGTTTTGCCCGCGCGTTGCTGCGGGATTAGAAATTATGTGAAAAATTATGTTGTACAGGTATAAACACATCAACTTATATCACATGTAATTAAATCAAGCAATCTCTAAACATGAGAAATGGATCTTAGAAAGTATAAATCCTACCTCATAATATTAAGGGAAGTGTTATTGGCACTCCAAAAATCTCATTCTACACTCCTCACAAGTATATTTTTCTTTTCTAATATAGAAAGTTTGGAGTGTAGAATAAGATTTTTGGAATGCTAATAACAATTCTCATGTTATACAATTAACAAATTCTCAGTGCATGATCACAAAAAGGTATAGAAAAGTAATTCAATTTTTAAATTTCAAAAATGGGAAAGATAAAAAAAGGGTCTAAATTCTCAGTTCTCAATATAACGAAAATTATGATATCATTTTAACATGAACTCGGGTTTTATCTCGGTCACCAGCATTAATAAAGCTAGTGACTTCAACCTGTGCAATACGTTATATGTATACATTACTATATATGTATTTGGACATAAAGTATAAAAATTTACTAACAGATTAACAAAAGAAGTAATTATGAATTGGAATTAAATGATATTATAGTTGTTAAAAAAATACCTGACCAATTTTTACACACAACATCATAAATTGTTAAAAAAAATAATAGCACTGAAATATCTAATTACTCAAATCTATAATTCTATTAAAACACATCACTGAAAACCCCAAGGAGAGAGGTGCATATTCCTAACCTTGCACGGCTAAAATTGCATTTTGTTTGAGGGGAGAAAAATGATCAGAACTGATAAGTCAATAGTTAAATAGGTTTACTCTGGTGTCAAATGTTTTTTAATACATACATAATACTCTCTATTTAAATCAACATTGATTCTTGCATACCTTCAGTTATATAATGTTTGGAGTTGAATGTATATATACCCAGATGGGAATAATTCTTTATCCGAAACTTAGAACAAACCAACTCATCCGAGTACGCAATGGAACTTAGCTGCAACACCAATATAATCAATGTAAATTATTATATTGAAACAATGTGATCAAACTTAAACAAAACTCCAAATCCACCAAAAGTTTAAATTTCTTACCTTGAGTACAGAGGGCTTCAGAAAACGACGACATTCTAGCCTGGAAATAAAATCTCCAAAATCAGAAAAATGAAATTTGCATAGAATTCACAGTTCTAAAATGATAGATAACAATAATCTCACACTATAACATTATACAAAAATTTAACCACAAAAATAGAAAATGGACAAATTCGTAAAGGAAAGTAGCAGCAGAGCAACTAATGGATTCTCTCAAAGATAATATTGTCAAATTTGTAAGATTAAGCAAGCAAGAGAGAGTACTGGCTTGCAGAGCGTAAGTTGTTAATCGACACATTATTCTGTCTTAAGTTAAGCAACTGAAGGTTTGTTAAGGCACATAACATAATCAAACCAAGCTTAAATATTTTTAAATACAACAGAAGAAATTTTTTTTTTCAAAACCAAGATAAAAATCTAAAAAAAAAAAACACAAAATGCAAGGTATTCTCTGAGGAAGGAAAGAGTTGCGAATTGCAGAAGACAACAGTTGAGAACGACAAACCACAAATTCGCCATAAACCGAAGCAGAGTTGTGAGAACAGACGAAAATTAATCAATCAATTTCAGAAAAATAGAGGAAAAATTAACAAACCTGAACAAATAAGATCTGGATAAATCTTAGAACATACCTGAGTTCAATTCAACTTGTATGACAACAGTCCCAATTGTGGGATCGCCGATGATAACAGAGACCAACACACTGAATAACCGGATTCAATGAGAAAGAATAAGAGGAAGAAGACACAACCCAAGTTTAAACATCATAGAAAAGAAACTGATGTCAGTACCATAGAGTTTGATTTGGGGATGTCTTTTCTTGTTAGACTAAACATATAAACCAAGATCGTGTAACATGAAACACAGCCATCCAAACACAAACTGTAGTTCATAACAATTGTACAGAGTAGAACTCTTACCTATAGATCCAGCTTTACACAAAAGCACAACCATCCCAAAAACCAAAAATAAGGAACGTAGGATTTTAGAACCCTGTAAGAAAGGGAGAGTAGAGGAAAGTTTAATGATATAAACAAACAATAGAACAGATCCCATAAGTTCCCTAAAATGAATGCTACAATATGCACAAAATGTAACTATTAGTAATAGTAACCAATGTAATCAAACATAAATAAAATGGTATCGTACAGTTTTGTTCTTTTTCATAGAGCTCTGAGGTTGAGTCTTATGAAATGGCGAGTTTGATACAAATTATATTTTCGGCAAATATTCCTATAATCAGATGCTCTACCCACTTGACTTCATCTTCAATAGCATCATTAAGATCCAATACATTCTCAAACAGGGATATTGCCTTGGCATTATCTTCATCCTGAAGAGTTTAATCATGATCATAATTCCAAACTCCAAGTCAATCAATTATCTACATCAATGGACTAATAAAGCATCCAATAACAATAAAAAGTACCCACCTTGACTTTCTTGAATATATATTGGAATCCCAACTCCCTAAGAACTTGCTCCCGAAGTCTGCAAAAAAGCTGGATTTCCCAAACAAAGCATGAAAAAAAAAAAACGTGAATGCTAGGAAAACGATGCCGCAATAAATCATGACTACAACATAATAGAAAGTGAGAAATCAACTCAAATCAAAATTTCGAGCTTACAATGCAATCCGGCGGGCCTCCGTGACTCTCAGGATCCTTTTTCAAGTCCTCCAGTATCTCAGTGTACCCTTCAGGCAAAAACACAAAAAATTGCAGGCATTTATGAAAACCCAATTCACTAATCGCAAAACAATCAGTAAAGTGTGTATCTTTGAGCAAATTTCTTAGCTCTGGCCGGAGCGTCGGGAACCGAAGCGTCGGACTCAGCTCGTTTCCTGCCAAAACCAATCAAACCCATTAACGAAAAACCCAAGAAATTAAGGTTTATGATGGAGGTTGGGGAAAGGATGAGGATTATCACTTGAAGGAGGGGGTGGAGTTGTAGAAGAGGTCGATCCAGGAGAGCTCAGTGGGAGTGGGCTTGCGGGGATTGTTGGAGGGGAATCTGTAGGGGATGGTGCAGGCTCTGTAGTTGAATTCGAACGGCATCGTCAGTAGTGGAAATAAAGAGTGAATTAGAAGATTTATCAGAGAGCTTACCTCTGCAGTTATTGCCGACTTGAACAAATCAAGCTTCTGTAGCAGTCTACATATCACAAAGCTGAGAGATGAGGTCTGGGTGAACTGGTGGCAGCGGTGATTGAAACTTGACAGGGATGTGGTTTAAGTTTTTCTGTGGTGAAGCGGTGAACGATAGAAGAGATGAAGAGGGATGAAGGTTTGCCAGATGGGGTGAGGACGGAGGGGCGAAGAATGAAGAAAGCGGTCGAGGATCCCACGCGTCACAAAACTATTACTCATTTGACAGCAAAGCAATAGGGGCAAAATTGAAATAACAAAAAAGAAGCAAGGATGAAAATGGAAGAACATTGTTAATGAACAGTGTTTTGTGTTGGGTTTTAGTATATGTATAATTTCCAGAGAAACGAAAATAAACATCGAGACTTTGCTTTGGACCACCGGCACAAATTTGGACAAAAGAAAAAGCCCATTAGAACAAATTTGACAAAGAGGCCCAAAACGAAATACAGAACTCAACCCTGAATGGTTGAGATCAAACTTCCTGACGATCCAACGGTCAGAACCTTTCAGCCATTCATTTATATTCGATCTTAATTATAAACCCTAAATCTCCTCTTACCAGCCATCGTCGCAAGCTCTCTCGCTCCCTAGAGTTTCTCTTTCGCGGCCGCTGTTCTTCTCTACAATCTTCGTTTCCAATCAAGATGGTAATCCCAACACGCCTTATATTATTCTGATCTGTAATACTCTATCGTTTTCTTCTCTTTCGTTAGCATATCATTCAGCTATATATATATATATATATGTCTGTTTATATATTGTTGAAACATGATGGCAGTGGGAATCTGTTAGGATATCGAATCGAAAAGGCATTTATTTTCTTTTGGGTTGGGCCAAAAATTAGGGTCAGAGTTTGAACAGAGTCCATAAATTCTGTTTGTATATTCGGAAAATGGTTGGATATGAATCATATGATAATGTTTTGATAAAATGATGTGGTGAAATTTAGAGGTGATAGAAATAAGTTAGGGTTTCGGACACGGATTGTGCAGTAATGGCTGTTTGGTTGCTCGTTGTAACAGGTGCTTCAGAACGATATTGATTTGCTTCACCCACCAGCTGAGCTCGAGAAGAGGAAGCACAAGCTCAAGAGGCTCGTGCAGACCCCCAACTCTTTCTTCATGGTATGAATATTAATCGATTGTTGCGTATGCTTCTGTGTTTTTTGTATTTGTGTTGTATGGTTATGAAATGTTCAAGCGGGATGTTGTTTAGTTATGAAGTGTTTAAGTGGGATAATAGTATACTAATTTTGATTGTTTTAAACTTGAATAGGATGTCAAGTGCCAGGGGTGCTTCAACATGTAAGTGTTATCTGTTTGTGCAGTTTTTTGTTAGTATTTTTAAAATCGTGCGCTAAATTGCGAAGAAAGAGAATTTTGTTGTTGTTTAGAAGTGAATTTAATGGAATTTGTTTGTGCAGAACCACCGTGTTCAGTCACTCGCAAACAGTTGTGGTGTGCGGGAACTGCCAGACTGTGCTGTGCCAGCCTACCGGTGGTCGTGCCAGGCTCACTGAGGGTTGCTCTTTCAGGAGGAAGGGGGACTGATGCTCCTGCTAAGACCACTTTTGACTCATGTTAGTTTATGTGAAACGGAGCCTTTTGAAGGTTCATTTCGTGGAAGAAAAGAAATGGGTGCTGTTGTTATTGTCAAGTTATCTAGGTTTGGGTTCCGATATTTAATTTTGTTAGGATCGTTCTGGACTTAGTAAGGCAGTGCCGCGTTTTGAATTTGTTTTAATTGAGTTTGCTATTCGACATTATGGGATATCAATTACATCTTGAGATTATATATTGTTCTTGAAGTGTTTTCCTGCTCTTTGTATTTGATATCTATAAATTGCTTGTTTGCTGTTGCGGTTCATATATCTCTTTCTTAGGTGAATATCGTGTGACTTCTATAATGTGTTCTTTTACCTTGTTTATACCTTGGAGGATTTGAAGATCATCTCCTATCATACAAGTAGTTATATTATGCTTTCTAGGACACTGTTTTAGGTTGATTGATGGTGTTCAGTGTGCATATCTTTCAGCGAAACGCAGTTTTAGGGGTGTATAGTGGGTATCATTATTGGTTAATTACTCTGTTTTTGGGCTATATTTATGTAGCTGTTAAGTCTCATGTTGCCCATTGATTTGCGGGATAATTTGACTTCTGTTAGTAGTTTCTTTTGCTTCAAAGAAGGCCTATGACTCAGAGGCACGAGTTTAGACTCTTACCGATGAGTGGGTGAGTTAAAACGCTTATTGTTCTCAGACTAGAGTTTGAAGTCTCCACAGCTTCAGGTTGCATGGAGTATACAATTGCTGTCTAATATTTCTTGAGCGGTTCAATAGCTTCGGCCAGCATGGTGGTGAGGTGGTGGAAACTGATGAAATTGAGGTTCTATCGTAAAACCAATTGGTAATATGAGTAGTCTAAGATCAAATAAGCACATAACAAACCTTGTCCCTCACCGATGTGAGACAACTCTCAACAGAAACTTAGATGGAACGGGAGAGTGAGGCCACAGAAATGGGAGTTGCTGGCTTTATATTTTGTATGTGATTGCGGTTGGTTGTTGGGTCATATGTGCTCAGTTGCAGGAGCATGATCTAGTTTTATCCTTTTAAGCTTATTAACAATTAGGCTCGTAGAATCGTGGTTTTTGGGTCGTTGCATATGAGAGCCTTTTTCAATTCAAAGCAAAAGGCCGGGTATGCTTTACATAAACCATTTATTGTGCTTCTGTTTCCAATTGATGCGTCTTTTCGTTGTGAGGCTCATATCAATTAACGATCATATGTCGGTCAATTTTATGTCTCATAACACGTTATTTAGTAAAACACGGTTACACCGAAAAGATTTTTGGATGTGTGGATGAACGATTGATGACGCCACGTTTCCCTATCATGAATGATCTTATCTCTAACATTAGGTTTTTTATTATTTTTTTTATCTTATATTTTATCAGGTATAGAATCAAAGACGGTATTAGATGACGAGAGTGTTGACCCAAGTATATGGCTTTTGGAGCTTTGGCTTTGTAATGTTGTGACACTTTTCTCCCAATAATTCATCCGACTAATTACAACCAATAATTCATCCGACTAATTACTTTAATTACTTCTAATGGCTCCACTTAGTTTCTATCTTACAATCATTACCCAATAAACAAATCTCAAAGCAAAAAATCTAGTCTTTCGGAGTATAGAATAATCTGTACTTCTCCAGTTGCGCCTCACATTTGATAGCAATTTCCTGATCAAACATGTCTTTGTACTTTGTAGTATGCAACAACAACAAAACCTTATTCCGCTAAGTAGGTACTTTGTAGTATCTTGTTGGCAAATATGTCGATGGATAATACTTGTACATAACCAGTGATTTCAAATATTAAGTTCAATGCGTGCTCGGACAACTTTACATTATTCTTTTGGGAGTATTGGAGTACAAATAATTTCCAATTTTTCTTGTGTAAATCTGAATTAGGACCGGTGCACGACAGTGATGTATAATTTGGTCGGCCAATTATTGGTGGGTCTCTACCCAACACTAATATTAAATTTTAATTGAAAATTTGCATGTATCTGAATCTTCATATATCTTTGAGAGACTGAGTTTTCCCCAAACTTGTCTTTTAGTTTAACAATTTTATTTTTTGAAAACAGCAGTCGTCGATGCTGCCGACATTTCGTAGGAAAACATACACAAGTACGAAAATTAATATGTTCAACTAGAATTCTAGGCCCTGCAAGTGCGAAATACTAGACTTCCATCTCTGTTTTAGGATCGAATTATACTTCCGTTAATCGGATTAAAATAGTATCGTCTTTTCACATAAGTTTAGGATCTCACGTAATTTTTAGTTGTGACGAGAATATAGATGGTACACCACACGTTTATATGTAAATGGTGAAAATTTTTAATTTTTAAGTTATTAAGGGCATATTTAGTATCTAACTTGAGAACAAAACTCAAAATTTTAATTTTTTTCTTAAAATACATGTTTTGATTTAAAAATTTTCAATTCAAAACTTTGTTTGGTATGCAACTTCTCAAAACTAATTCAAAACAAGAAAAATCAAATGCTCAGGCCGGAGGAAGAAGGATAAAGGTGGTGGCTATGGTGGATGCAAGGGGGAAGAGATTGAAAAGGCCATAGAGAAGAGAGAGAGAGAGAGAGATGGAGAGAGGGGGGAGTGAGTGGTAGAGAGACATAGAGGAGTGAATCCTGAAAAAAAAAAAAAAAAAGTCGAACAACACACTTTTTGTGTTTTTAATAAATAAGCTTTGTTTTCAAATATTTTTAAGTTGTGGTTTTGAGAATTATATTCAAATTAAATATCAAACAAAGACTTAAATTTGTGACTCAAAACTTGTTTTTGAGTTAAAAACATTGGATCCAAATCAAATACCAAACATGTCATAACCTTTTAATACACATATCCCACCATTTATACGAAAATACCACGGTCACACTGAAAAATCTCCCCACGCCTATGAGTTTGACGTTTACCTATTTAAGTGATGAGCGTTGATTTGGTCTTCCCGCGGAAACATTTATATGTATGGGGCTCTCTCTCATTCTCTCTCATTCTCTCCCTCTTGCAGAAAATATTGTGTAAGCAGCAGTTTCTGTGAAGGCGCAGCATACAGAGCAACCTAATTTCACCTGTTCAAACAACATTCAATTTGTTACTAGATTCAGTGTCACCGTTGCCCTTATTGACTCTCCATTTTTTCTTCCTCTCTCTCTTTCTCTCCTCTTATCGAGTTACTTTTAAAGAGCTATGAGGTCATTCTGCTATCTCATTTTTCATCCGGAACACTAGTTTTTCGGTGTTCTTGGTGTGCTCCGCGTATGTAGATTATACACACCCAGAAGTTCCAGCAAACCGTGATGAACAAATCCCCCAAATTTGGACATTGTTAGGGTTGTTTTTCTTGGTCGGCAGGTTACTATCATGTCTTGTTTAACGGCAAGAACAGGGCGGCAGAGACAGCGCTACGACGGTCATTTGAGGCTTGTTTCAGGGTAAACACTTCTAACTCCTCTTTGTTTTTGGTCATAGATTGTTTCCTTCCTTTTCTTTTGATAGAAGGAAGCAAGTGTTTTACTGTTTATTGAGAGTATGAATCCCACCTCGGAGATTTAAAGCCTTGCCAACTCCATTGTTATGATAAATTATTGAAGCTGAAGTGTCATGTGTCAATTATGTCTCAAATGATTTTTTAT